AACATATACTCCATTTTCTGTTTGAAATTTATGTAACAGTAAAGATAATCAGTGGCATCAAATTCCAGTTTATATAAACCATTACTACAACTTACTAATTTGCAATGTATATTTTCCTAAAACTAGGAAAAAAAAAGCACAGTGCAGGACTATGCTTTTTAATATGTCTGCTTTAAAATACGATCCTAAATAGTATCAAGTTACTAGTGTTTCATTTACTAGTATTTTGAAAATACTCAAGAACATTATTAACATATTTTCATAAAATCATTTTTCATGATTATTTTCTATTTCACTCCTAAAAACTATTCACAATTCACAAAAATAATGATTTACCTTGCAGCAAACTATCAAAAAAATGTATTATAAAAACAAGAGATGAGAATATAACTTAAAACATTAACCATTAAGGAAATCAGGCAAAAAATACATCCACTTTATCACAGAAAACAACAGAAATAGTCACAATTAAATAAAGAATGGGTATATAGATAATAATTTAATACACTTAATTTTTAGCCTACAGATAATTTATAAAGCATTTTTCAAATACACTGAGAGGTACACTAAGTTATTTTGGAAATTCCTCTAAATTGAAAAACAAAAGGCCATGAGACTGAGCTATTTAGATTGCTCAAGAGTTATAAATTTTTAGTATATATAATAATACACTAGAGTTGTTTAAATTTCAAACTACCAGAGCCTAATATAATAACTACTTTATTAATCACAAATAAAGTAACAATTACTTACTTTGGAGGCCCATGGCTGAAGACAATTGGCATAACAGCGAACAAGAAAAGCCATTTCCTGAGATGGAAAGGGTAGCTTCCTTTTCAAATCAGAGTCACACAGGATAGGTTTGTTGATAAAATTCTGTTAAGTTTCTTTTTACAAATCACACACCATTTGCAGGATTATATAAAAGCAGTCTTTCCTTTCAAACTAAAATCCAGAGCTTTTTGTAGCTTAGAGTACTGTTCTAAATAACTGCAACAGCTTTCATCAAAATGTTCACTTTTAACAAGCAAATCACCATAAATCAAGATATTTGTTTCTAGTTCAGAAAAGACAGACACACATACTCAGACATCTGGAACAGGCATGCACAGTGGTAACAGTTAACACTATATCGATCAAAGCAAATAAGGCAACATGCAGCAAAGCTGTGATCTCCGATTCTGAAAAACCTTTCCTCTCACTGTAATAATACAGCCTTGTCTTCTCTTCAACTTATTTTATTCTGTAGAGCAAGCACAGCAGTAATTCTTCTGCATCAGAAAAAGTCCAGAATATTGTATCCTTAAAATAAAGTTTCTTCTTTATAATCTTAATAACCAAGGTAAAAAAAAAAAATCAACCATCAAGCAATGCTTTAACGGGTCTGGCCTGTAGAATACCTGAGAATCTCCAAAATTAACTGTTTTTCCTTTTCATATACACTATTTGCAGCTCTGCAGTATTGCTTCTTGTTCTAATGTACCGGTAAGGCAGTACTGTTTATCTAAGCCTGGCTTTTCTGGTTGAAAATTTATTTATAATATGGTACAAAAACACTACATTTTCTGCTAAAACAAGACCATATGTTGTGTCTAAATTCCTACTGTCCTTGTCTGTTTCAGAGCAGCTCTGTAAGGAGAAGCTTCTATTGATTCTATGCTCTGCAGTAAGATGAAATATCTAATAAGAAGGAAAGAGAGTGGGAGGAGAATAGAGCTAAAAGGATGACATCACCTGTATAGAAAGCCTTCAGAAACTGCATTAGATCAATTGGCTACTGTATCTGCAGATGTAGCCCAAAGAGCAATTTGCACGCACACAGGCAGACACACACCCTACAGTGACACATGTCAGCAAGCGACATTCTGTGAGAAAAATTAAAATAGCTTAAGCATCTCTATAAGCTAAAAACAATCCATTTCAATATTCAATTCTGTACAATGTTATATTTTCTAGTATTATTCAAATTCAATACAATGTCATCCTCCCAAGAGAAAAATAATTAGCTCCAGTAAGAGTCACTTGCATTGCAAATGCATAAATCAGCCTAGATCTCAGATGGGGCAAATATATATTTGTAATACTGTTCCAGGGGTTTGGGCTTGCAAAAATTCTATTTATCAAATAACTGTTTTGAAAGGTATAATTTTTCAAAGCACTAAAAATATCAAAACTGGAATACTAGTAAATGAAAACAATAGAGTTTCATTTTGTAAAGGAGAGCTGAAAAACACAGGCACAGCAGCTAAACTAAACTGCAGCAAGCACCAATCCCTCTGAGGGAGAATAATCTATGCAATAAGGTACTGCCCTACAGTACAATATTCAATTCCTCGAAAGAGATGAAGTCAGTAAAACACAGAATCTAAGAAGGAAATTTCTAAACCTATTTCCAACTGAGCTCTGACTAAAAAGAAATCTTGCCACACCCTCTCCAATCTGAAAACACAATTCCTTTTGTATCCACCCATATTTTTCATGCTTCTGCCATAAGAAATCAACAGCAAATACTCCCATTGTTTTTGCTAAGGATTATATTGCTGTCTCTCAATGGTAAAAGTACAATAGTTTCCACTAGTAAAATATAGTCAGTATGACTCAATGCAGCATACTTATGAAAATTACAATGAAAAAAATCAAAGTGAAAGGACGATTTGCTTTTTTTCACCTAACACAAATTTGAGAAGGCATGTGCAACATAAGAAGAAAAATTATAACCAGAGACAAGTTTTTTTTTTAAAAAAAAGAACTCCAGTGGCTGTCAAAGAAACATCTTGCCATTAGCCCCTCCTCAAAAGAGGGTGGGGAGGGAAAGATCTTCAATACCCCTGGGCAAAGAATGAGTCACTTTCTGAACAACACTATACTGCCAATCTAAATTATGCTGCTACTTATCAGATTTGAATTTGCTTTGATAAAACGAAGCATTATTCAGAAAAAGGAAAGTCATGCATTCAAAAATATGATCATTAATGAATTTAAGTTTTCACAAAACTTTAGAAGGTTCTTAAAAAATTTTAATACACAAAATCTGCATTTAAGTGTAAAATTAAATTTTACCAATTCAAATAAGCATGGCTCGTTTTTCAAACGTAAAACACAGGTAATATATACATGTTTAAAATTCAAGCACCAGTATAGTTTTTTTTCTCTCTCTCTCTCTTTGGGGGGGCCACCTGGCTCTGTGCTCAAAGATAACTCCTGGAATGCTGGAGTGACAGCACAGCAGGTGGGCATTTGCCTTGCAGGTGGCTGACCTGGGTTCGATTCCCAGCATTCCATATGGTCCCCTGGGCACCGCAATAAGTAATTCCTGAGTGCAGAGTCAGAAATAACCCCTGTGCATTGCCGGGTGTGACCCAAAAAAGCAAAACAAACAAACAAAAAAAAAAAACAAAAGATTACTCCGGAAAGGGTTCAGAGGACTGCAGGGGTGCAAAATATCGAACCCAAGCCAGTCATATGCAGCCAAGTGACCTACCTCCTACCTGCTTTACTATCTCTCTAGTCCCCTAGCACTGGTTTAGTTTTAATGTAATTTCAACACAAAGGGTTTGTAAAATTATGAAAGAAAAGTCCAATATTCAAGTATAAATGAACTAAAATATAGTTTTAACTCGCTTTTTTAAATAGAAAAATTAAAGCAGGCATTTTCTATGCAAGGTAAACTCTTCCAAAAGATAAATTTCTACAAGCATTTTTTGCATAAACATTTCCGTTTTAACACCAAAAATTAATTATACGTCTGTATAACATTAATAGAATAAATTACTACCAATTAAAAAGCAAAATCTTAATGGATAGCTTTCTCACTTTTTATAAATCAGCTGATGCCACACAAAGACTTCAAGCTGAGCAAGGGAGACAGCCATCTTTTAGCTACTTTAAAAAACTGCTGCCCTATGCATGAAATGCAATCCACTAGTGCCATATGTTAGTAGTATAGTAAACACCAACTCAATAAAGGAACATTCTCTTTTCCTTTAATTTGGCCTCAAAGAGAAGATGACATCATTCTTTTCCTTGTCCTACCAATCATTTCACAGTATTTGCTATCCCAGGAATTGTATGGTAAACCTCGTACTGGGTTCTCACTGAATCTCCCTGGGCAGCAATATCATGAAGGAAGCCAAACTCTATATTTAGCATGTGAATCCAACAGTATTCAAATGCTACATAATTTCTTCAGAAATAATGACCTACTAAATTACTGAAAAAAAATCTTTTGAAATAATCAGATAACTAAAATTAGATTATTAGGTGAATACACTTTTCACTTACATCACTTTTAAACTTTTATCATTATCTCATTTCATTTTCTGACCAATTCAAAGGAAGTAATTGCAGCAAAGGAGAATGTCTTGACCTAGACATTGTCTAGGAATCATCAATACAGGAGAGTCATTTAATATATTCTCCTTGCAGATGAAGTGCCAGGATGCTAAAACTACAATGATAAATTTTTTTTTCTTTAAAAAGTCTTTCATGTGGGGCTGGACAGTACAGTGGGTAGGGCACTTGCCTACATGTGGATGGCATGGGTTTAATACCCCCACCCCATATGAGCCCCTGAACCCTGCAAGGAGTAATCCCTGAGTGCAGAGCGAGGAATACTGAGCCCTGAGCACTGCCAATTGTGGCTCCAAAGCAAAATCCAACAAAGAAAAATCTTTCACATTATTAGAAAAAAAAAATCAATGCATTTTGGCTTTGCAAAGTTTCAAATCATTAAAAATATATTTTCTATTTTTTAAATGAAACACCGTGAGTTACTATTACAGACTTTTGTGATTACATTTCAGTCATACAACGGTCGAGTACCCATCCCTCCACCAGTGCCCATTTTCTACCACCAATGTTCCCGGTATCTCTCCCGCCATGACCCTCCCCCTCCCCCTCTCCCTCTCCCCCGCCTCTGTGGCAGGCACATTCCCTTTTGCGCTCTCTCTCTCTCTCTCTCTCTCTCTCTCTCCCCTTCTGGGTGTTATAGTTTGCAAAAAAAAAAAATGGAACGTTTCACGAATCTGTGTGTCATTCTTGCGCAGGAGCCAGGCTAATCTTCTCTGTATCATTTCAATTTTAGTATATGGGCTGCTGAAACTAGCACTAAAAATATTTTTATTAAAATGTAATTGTTGGGGGGGTGGGAGGGATACTGGGATTGGTGGGGGTGGAGAATGGGCACTCGTGGAGGGATGGGTACTTGATCATTGTATAACTGAAACCCAAGTACAAAAATTTGTAAGTCTACAACTATTACCTCATGGTGTTTCACTAATTAAAAAAAAAGTGATTGTTAGAATTAAAATTTCAACTGTACAAGTTGCATAAAATTGTAAACTACATAATCTGTATAAAGTTATATTGCTAAATAAAACAGGAATTGGAACTGAAATCAAACTGAATGATTATATGACATGTCAAAGAAAAAGTTCTGGTAGTCATTAAAAAACACACACATACCTTTTGTTTCAATAAGTAACACACTGAGAAGGAAGCAAAATAAATTTAGAATCAAGAAAGGCAGTTATCAAATCTATGGTAATCTCTCTCATACAGTTTATTCCTCTTCTGCACTTAAAATGTAGTAAATTACAAATAAATATTTAATCAGAAGTCAAAAAAAGAAAGTTACCAAGTTAAAAAAAAGTATGCATCTGAACAATTTAGTTTTAAGTATTTAGTCTGTTAATATATAAATGGTTTTGTGTTGGGGTGGAGGTGTGAAGGGAGTTTGGGCCACACCCGGAAACGTCCAGGGTTTACTCCTGGTTCTGTACTTGGGGATCACTCCCGACAGGCCTCAGGACCATACAGGGTGCCAGAGATCCAATCTGGGTTGGCCACATGTAACGCAAGTGCCCCAATCCATGATACTATTGTTCCAACTGCATGTAAACTGATTTTTTATAGTAAAATTATTTTATTCCTCTTGGAAAGCAAATGACATTTTATCAAAAAGAACATGTAAGCCATTTTTAAAAGAATCACAGCAAGCCTCATCTCCCACCAACATCCACCCCCAACCCTGAAGCTTAACTTGAGCATTTAAAATGAATCTGCAGTTATCAGACATGGTTAACTCTAATTACCGGTGTCCCTCAGGAATTTATGCTCTCAAACTGCATTCCAGCCATTTCTCAGCATTCTTAAGGAAGCCAGAGAGCACCAACACTGTCCTTTTAATCTTCTGTAATAAAAACTGTGCTTCATAACAGAGTCATTCATGTCCACTAAAAGATCAGCAAGATGCTTTTGAAAATACTGTCAAAGCCACCAGCAGAACACATATGCTCTATGAAATATGATACAGCCTCAGTGCAGGAGAAGAAAAAGCAAAGAGGGAGAGGGGAGCCTTCACCATCAGCTAAGGTGATGTAAGCTTCTATAATTAGAATCAGTGAAACTGAAGGAACAATAAAAAGGCACCACCATGCTTCTACTTCCCCTTACATAGTGCAGCTGAATCAAGCATTTTTCACTCTTGCACAAAAGGATTCACTTGCTTATACAGTCAAGCATGTTGCATTCTATCTATTGCAAGTCTAATGCAAAATTGTTTAAATTGTGCACTGTTTCTCTTCAAAAATAATATTCTTCCCACAACTAAAAAGAGCAATATATACTCAGGGCTAGTAACAGTCACCTTATTAATAAAATTAAACTACTGAGAATGCTGTCTCCAACTGCATATTCCTAGATCATGTTAAAGATTGTATCACTTTTCCAATTTGAAAAATTGTATTTTCTAGTACTATTAAAATCACATAAAAAACTATGAACATAGCATAATTACTAAGAGATAACAAACCAAACTACAAGACAATAAAAAATCAGCACTGGAACACTTGTAAACCAGAATCTTAGATCTCTGGTACACAATATCAGAGTTGCTTCAAACAATTTTCAAAAGATTTTTTTTGTGTGTGCATCATGTTTCAAGTATGATAAGAAATCTTCCTGATCCCTGAGAAGATCCATATAAATGAGAGTATTCACCAGACAACCAGAGGGGCACATCCTATCCTCTTATTACATCCACTGCTGAAATTCACAATTAGTCAATAACGTAATTTTAGAAGTCACTACTTAGCAGTGAGCAATATATGAAGACTATTAAAGAGAATTTTCATAAAAAACTCAATGAATTAAATGTTATAATTTTATTCCTAAAAGTTATTCTAATAGAAGAAAAACATGTGAATACTCTCATACTAATATTAATAATAAGATCTGGAGAAAATTTATATTGCATGAGGAACAAATAAGCAGGATAAATTCTTAGAATTATCATGTTAGCTATAGGATCAGAATTAAGATATATACATTTAAAAATTCACTAGCAATACCAGCTACCTGAGTTTGTGATTACAATAAATTTATTCAACGTTCCCTTGAATGTATCTACATTTGTACAATGAGGCTTATTTTTAATTCACAAAAAATTTTTAAAAATCTTCTGTATATAGATATTTATACTATTTTGATTACAATATCATGCCTGTATTTTTTTCTTTGTCTCTGGACTTTTGTACTTCTGCTTAGGTACAACAACACAGGCATCAATAATTCTACATTACCCACCAACAAAACAAATGAGAAGCAGAATTCCTTTCTGAGGAGCTATAACACTCACAGAGGGGATGGATATATATATATATATATATTGCTTCATATATTGCTCATTGTTTCTGTTTATAAGGTACAAAGCACCATAAAGAACACTGAAACACTAAGCCCTCCAGAAAGTAGGCAAGGTAAGAAGAAAAGCAATAGAGAGGCTGCAGATCCTAAGGGGTGGTGCTCCAAATTTCTCAATAGTAGACAGGACAGAACACACATCTAGTAAAGGCGCCAGGCAAAACTTTCTTAGAAAAGAAAATTATTTTTTAACCCAATTTTTCATTCTATAAGTAACTGACAAACACAGAATATTTAAAAACAATCAGGGTCAGTTCATTAAATCTACAAGCCAACAAATAGAAAGTGAAGTTCACAATGTTGACAGTTTTTTCATATATCAGTGATAATGACTTAAATAGTCTAAACTTGAAATTCTGATGATAGAAATATCAGGATTTATACCTCTAGCATTTGAATCTGAATGCTTAAATTATTTACTCAACGGTGCATTATACATATGATCTGAGTGTGTGTATATCTGTCCCCCTTAAACCTAATTTATGCACTGAAATCCTTCAGGAGGTTGAAAAGAGCATGAAGGAAGAACTCTTTATATAGCATCGATCAGTGAATCAGAAAGATAGCTAAACGGGTTGGAGACCTGCTTCACCTGCAGAAGCTTAGGTTTGATTATTGGGCCTGTATGGACCTCTGAGCAAGCACCACCAGGAGCAACTTCCAAACACCAAGTAGGGAGTGACCCTCCAACTAGCATTTTGATAAATAAGAACTGCAGGATCTGGCAACACACACACAAACATACAAAACACACATAAAAACCAAAAGAACAAAAACCCCAACCTCCCCCAAACCCTCCCTCATCCTTTGAGAAACTTTGGTCCCTTTAGAAGGGAATTAGTATCTCTGTCTAGCTCTATTCCCACCAGATACAGAAACCAAGCGTCTTAAATATTCTGTAAAAATTGCCAGTTAGAAGGCGGGAAGTAAGGAGATGAGGAAGGGAAGTAATGAAGAGCAGGGATTAAGGGCCTCAGATATATTAGTAATGTGGAGGAGGAGTAAAGCTATATATCCAAGACCACCAAAAATATGAGATTCAAACTATACCAACCACACTTCACGTTGTGCCTGACAAGATGGAAGGCTAGGCAGGGAAAAGGGCAGGAGGGAACTTGGGAACACTGATGCAGGGAAGTTGACACTGGTGGTGGGATTGGTGCTAGAACATTTTGTCTAAAACTCAACTATCAGTAACTTTGTAAATCATGGTTCTTTAATAAAAATTTAAAAACACTGAATGAAAAGAAGCTAGTGAACACAGTCTGAAATTACTCCTAAAATTATTTCAAGTATCATTAATAATATACTTGATTATGCACTAAAAATATCCTGTCAGTTAGTAAACTGTTGGCTGTGGGTTTATTATATACGACCTAACTATCTCGAGGTACACTCCTTTTATCTAATTAAAAAAATTTTTTTTAAAGTTTTTGGGTTACATCCAGCAATGCTCAGGGGTTGCTCCTGGCTCTGCACTCAGGGATCACTTCTTGTGGGGCTCAGGAGACCTTATGGGATGCTGGAGATCAAACCCAGGTAGAGTGCATGCAAAACATGCTATTGTACTATCTCTCTAGTTCCTCTATTTCTATTTTGTTGAGGGCTTTTGCCGGAAAAACATAAGCAGAATTCTGAGAATACAGAACTCAGAGGTGTCTTCGATGACTCAACTCCACTGGAAAAGACAACAAAAACAAATATAAACACAACACAGAAATTTTTGAATGGAAAAAGGAAAGTTGACTAAAATAAAGCCACAGTACCAAATGGGAGAAAATACCTACATCAGGCAAAGGGCTGATATTCAACATTATCCATAAAGCGCTCACAAAGTTCAGTAACAAAAAAAAACCAATAACCTACTTTTTAAAATGGGATAAGAAGATGAACAGAAACTTTTCCTGAAGACACAGAGTCAATTAACAGACATATGAGAAAATGTTAATCATCATTTCTCAGCAGGAAAATGCAAATACAATGAGAAACTATCTCCAACCAGTGAGAGTGGCATATAACCAAATATCTGGGGGTGGGGGCAGGGGGCAATGTTTTTGGGAATGTGGTATAAAAGGAATTCTCATTCACTGTTGGTGGGAATGTACTTTGTTTCTGCATCTTTGGGAAACAGTAAGGAATCATCTTTTTAAATAAGAACTTGGCCAGAGATAGCAGAGGTTAAGGCACTTGCCTTGCATGTGGCTGAACCCAGTTTAATTCCCGGCACCAAATATGGTACCCCAACCACCACTAGAAATGATTCTTGCACATAGCCATGTATGCCTGCACCCCATCAATATTTCTTAAATGGTGCATTTTCTCTATCTTAGCAATTTGTTGGCACCTCAACCTGAATGTGTACTCCCTCCAACTAGCATCTTGCTAAATAAGACTAAATTCCTTCAC